GTAGAAGCCAGATCACATTCAATAACTATCAGGATTTTGAGAAAAAGCCTAAAGCACGAGAGCTCTCTCGAAAAAACTTAAGAAGTCCCGGCAAGCCTAACTGGAACAACTTACACGGCATCAACTTCATCCAACCATAACTTCTGGTTACATTTCGGAGAGCAGTCAAACGTACATGTCTCCACCAAAGCTTGATAGATGAGTTGAGCCTGAACGATAGGCTTGAAAATACTCTGCTGAGTCAAGACGATTAACGCTTCTATGTACTACCAAAGAAGCCCATTTAATTTGTGAAGCTGGATGAGTTTACCCTTACTCTCTTTGATAAAAATTCACTAATACTTCCACTGGGGCCTATAAACGTGATATACAGTGGGTGTGCCCCGAAGGCGGTGGCTGCGATGACTGGAAGGTGGAGTGTTTTTGACGGCATCATTAGGCACCATAAAAATGGGTCTCCTTTGTGAAAGAATTACCAGATGGCCTTGGATTTCAGTCATTTGATAAGGTGCTCCATTAAAATTCTGACGAAAGCTATCTAACATACCTGCTCATGGAATCCACCAAAATTGATCTTGTAGCGGACCTCGTGCGGTGACGGTCGAGAAATGCCGAGAATCGAATGATGAACCACACAACTAAACAAATGTTGCTGTGAAGTTATTAGGAAACAAAACAAAACAAAATTCGGGAAAAAATTGTGAATTTCACAGCCGTTTTGCTAGGTCGCTTATTCTTCTGTAACGCCGAACAGTGCAAATCAAAGAGGATAGGGTTACACGATCGGCTGCGATCAAACGCTCTGGAGCAGCCGTGCATTCGACTTGAATTCAGAATTTTTGGGAGAATTCAACTACATTCATGGCATCATGTTCTGCACAAAAAACTTGGGTGGCCGATGTACATACATAAGTAATGTTTGTGATCCTCCTAGAGCAACCAACCCAGTCAGAAGTGATCAAGGGTCTGGTTGCCTTGGAAGGTTTTGCCACATACACTTCCTCAAGTATCCTGAGACTTCGCTACCCTATGCGGCCATCTATGCTACTGATGAATAACGAGATCACAACAAAAGGGTACCTGATTACAGATATTTTGGCCCTGTTCTCAACAACTATCCCTTAACAACGTACCCATCGTCATTGATAAGTTTGATGGTCTCTTTCGTGTTGATATCTCTCGCGATCACATTTGAGACAGAAATCTGACTTGGAACGCCCTGAAATCGATGACTTTAACAGTGAATGAAATTCAAAAGAAAACTAAGGTCTTACAAAATCTTCCAACTCTATAATATCATTATAAAGTGGGTGGGAAAAAGGGATGGCATGTACTCCAGGGGAAGAAATGTGAAACAAGTAGAAGGAGTGACATCGGAACCCTCAGTAAAGAGCTTATCATGGGTTCTTTTATCCTTCTATTTTATAAAGCGCTAACTTTGTGTGTCGGTTTGTATGTCTGTATGTGTGTGTGTATGTATGTATGTATGTATGTATGTATGTATATGTGTGTCCGTCCGCAAAATGAAGTGGTAGGGAAACTCGTGAAGTAAACAGACCGTTAACAAAATCGAGTAACTATGACTTTAGCAATCAATGTTTTGCAGTGCTATCAATGTGATAACACCCCAACGGCTATATAAACACCTACTGAGCATGGTCTCATTCATTCCACATGATGCTGCAATAGCAGCTGGAGAGCAGTAGAGGGAATAGGATAAGATGGAGAAGGGCGAGGGGAGCTAACCGCCGAAAGACCTGAGGTCCAATTAATATCATTTCTAAGGTCATGTCACGATTACGGTAATGCCTTCTACTATATAAGACACTTTTTTGGACATGCGTATCACCTTCACGAGGTGTCCATGTCACCAGTGGATGGAGCACATTGAAAATAAATTACACAGTAAGGTCCCCGGGTTGCCTGGGACCAATCTGGTATCTAAAAACCAAAGTGTTATAATGGTACAGAGCGTTTCCACACAGGAGTGGCGTAAAATTGAATTGAAGGAGGCTCCGTCTTTTTTGATGTTAACTGACAAGGTGGCCGGTCCCTCATAATGACGCATCATATTTTAAATTTATTGGGTTCGGGTTTTTTGGATTTTTGAAGATGGACTTTGAAGAGATAGTTTCTCGAAATTTATGAGAGACCTCGAAATTCGGGTAGTTATCAAGACCATTTTCAGTGATTTTATTTCTTTCTATATTAGCTTTCACCCCGTGCTCGAGTAGTAGGCTTTGGAAGATGAAAATAGGTTCCAGGTATGACAAACAAGGACTACGGTAAGGTTAATTGTAATTTGGAAATATCATGAGAATTTCGGATGTGGGTCGTACACAAGGGCTTCGGGGAGGGTCGTGCTAATCTCGGAATTCGAAGTAGTTCACAGCTAATCAGGGCCGGCCAGGACGGCTTGCCCTGATTGGTCGTACTAGATAATCAGAATCAATTTTGATTTAACAACTGCGCGCAAAAAAATATCGGTGAGTTGCAAAAAATCCCCGTTTCACTAAAGCAATATGAGCGTATGGCGTTGCTCGCACCAGTTACCCATCATCTGTTCTTTTCTTACCTCGGTAGCGGTAAGCGATAACCATCCTTGATCACCGTCTTCAACAACATCTGTTTCCATACCGGCCAGGTTCAACACTCGAAGTGAGTAACGTGGTTTCGCAGAAGGACGTGTTGGTGTGTACATGATTTTCTTGGTACTGAAATATTGTACATGAGCGGAAAACAAGGAATTTTATTCAAATTTTGTCATTGATTGATTATCAAAAGAATCGACGCCACCTACAAAATAAGTGAGGGTTTTTTCTAGCCATGGGGAAGATAAAGCAACATCCCCAGATCAGATAATGAAGTTGTGGATGCCGAATTGACTAAAAATGAAAAAAGAAGCAAAGAAAACCGTCGATGAAGCCAAAACAAATTCCTTGAAAAAGGAAGGGCGGGGCCAGACGAGTTGTACGAACTTGCCTGCTCCACGGCTCAACTAACCCGCGCGTATTTGAATTAGCCGCTACGCCGTAATCCACGTTGCGTGGGGTGTGCGCAACGTAACTCGTCCAAATGCTAAGATTAGTTGATTATGCTGACTTTGGAAGACCTTTACAAAGCGCCATTGTTGCGCCCTTCGGGTTGCTTATCTGTTCTGCTCGTGGGACAAAAGACAAAATACGCGAGAGAGCACGTCGTTTGAGAGAGCACGCTGATCTCTACATCAATGCACGCTGATCTCACCACATCTCGCGGTGGGTGGGAAGCGTTCGGGGTCGATGGTTGCAGGCCCGTAAGGATTAGCGCCCTAACCGCGCAATTTTTGCGACGAAGCTGGAGTGATCTAGGTAGGTACGGACCTTACAATTTCCCTCGTGGTATCCTTCCTACTAGTCGGGCTAATCCCGGGGTTTGCCTTTAAGTCCGGCGCGACTAGGGACCACCGGCCATTGGGAGAGGGCAGAGGCAATAATGCGTCTAGAGGGAAGAGAAGAAGAGAGTGAAGCCTTATACTTCGTCGCAAGCGCACCATTCACTTCGAAGGGGCCGCGTAGCGATCCACTGAATGCCTGGCCCCCTCAGTAATGGGCACATTTCCTTTTTTACCACTCGGTTAATCGTGGCACCTGCTTCTAAGTAAGAACAGAGCAAGAGGCCGCATGAAGTTAGCTACCTTGTGCGGTAGCCATGGTTAGATACCCATAACCATGACGGCAACCGAGGCCATAAAGATAATCTAGCAGAACTTACAGTACAGCATCTGTTCGATTCGCATCGTGCACCTCCATGTGGACCGAAATTGTGTGGTCATTGACATCTACTTGCGGGTGAATACGACAATGAACCTTTAATATTACCGTAATAGTACTGGTCCCACCACGAAAATTGTTCACAGCCATACCTGTAGAAGTTTATCACGGATCGTCACCAGGGTTGTACTACCTTCTTTGACGTGAATTAGACCACTGTAGGAGGGATATGGCACAGTCTGAAGTTCACTTCTAGTCAGTAAGAACTATTAAGCTCTTTGAAAATGCAAGGATGAACTCATTGAGATTTAAGGACCTTTTTCTCAATGCCGCATTCTTCATACGGCATGAATACGCTGAAATGGTACGACGACGTGACTGTCCTCTCGCAAGCTACCTCCTTCAACCGTTTCGTCTTCATCTAGTCAGTGGAACAGTGAGTCTTGAAAGGTGCAGATAAAATCATTTGAGATTTAGGACTTTTATCAGATCCGTTATTCTATGGCATTAATACACTGAAATGTACGACGAGTGACCGTCCTCATCGCAGCCTATGCTGCACCGTTTTCGTTTTGATGAGCCAGCGACTACATGCATTCTATCGTGGCCCATGCACGGCTGTCACTTTTTAGCTTACCTGAACAATCGCATTGATGATCCATGAATTTCCAAAGCATCGTTACGGCACTTCAACGCGACTGAAAAATCATGGTAATTTTTATTTTTTGCATCATATAGACCATTTGGTAGTGGTTTAGTTATTTATAAATTATGTGGTGATAAAACATGATTTACTTATGGTGTTGTAAGCGGGTAAAAACTAAGGGATGAAGGAGGTCTTCCTAAACAGAACGTAATATGTCCAGTTTTCTGCTGACTTCTGAAGTAAAGATTGAGTACGGGCCAGAGGATAAAAGTCTCCGGCTGCTCTGGGGTAGAATCTTTCCGAGGATTCGACTGCAGACCATAAAAAGCCCCTAAAAGGGTAACCTTTACTTGTTCGTGGGTCCAGAAATTATGAAGTTAGTAGCTTTTAAAATCGTAATTATGTCCAGTTTTCTGCTGACTTCTGAACTAAAGATTGAGCCAAAATTTCTAAGATCTCCACTTTTGTACTGAAACTGAAAATGTACTGAATGAAGGTTTAAAAGATCAAAAATCGATCCATCTTTCAACCTTATTCAATCATCACAGTCAGGTAAAAACTAGTCCCGGTGAGTAGTGCTCGATTTTTGAAAACGGTATCATCCCCTAGAACAACGCTCTGGGAAGGTGGGAACTTCGGGGTAAATCAAGAAATTGCTTACGCTCCAGGTTCCCTCGCCGGGCCTAGTCTCATCGAATTCACCATTTTTGAACGTACAATGCGTACGCTACGTTTCTTCTGTAATTCCCCCTCCCCCCCCCCTCCCTCCCCCCTCTGCCCAACACCTTTTTTCGCCTGAGTTTTGCACCTGTTTTCGACACGTCACGACGACTACATCCAGTTGGAGTACGAATGCTCAAACAAGGAAGTTTAGGCTCTCGAGGTGATGGATATTCCTTGAGAACCCTAACCATTCTTCTTCCTTTCACATTGTAGCGGCATTCAGCGGCTAATACAATAGGTTTATGACCTTTGCGTAAGTCAGAGTTTCCAAATCCTTGGTACCAATTGAAAGCGTGACACATCTGCCCGTCCATTTTTTTCTGCATAGAATTACGGCGCTTTCTACACCTCTCTGATCAGGTCATTGGACAGACACGCAGGACTGACTTCATTCTACCTACTTCTGCTTGGTCCTTTCTACCTGCTAGATCGCAGAAGTGTTTATATTTCCTTAGTAATCTAGCTCTAGTGATTATTTGGTAAGCACTGATGATATGATTGCTGAGACTTATCACTAATTTTAAGCTTACATTCTATGCAGTCGTCCAACGATCCATACGTAAGATTCGAGTTCCGAGTGCTCAACGGACTTCGCCCTGATCCCCGTCCATCGTAATGACTGAGATAGCACAAGCTGTGTCCATTTGTCGTGTGTATAGGACCTTAATATGTCATATATTTTATTGATCGATTTTATTATTGACAACAGAAACAGCTTCCTTTTTTGCATTTTGTTTCCTTTACCATACACTAACCAAGACTTTGAGACCGTAACGCCGTAGCCAGCTCAGACAAAAGGCCCTGCTCCTGTTTTTTTTTATTTTTCTTGTTCGTGATTTTTTTTGCTTTTGCTTCACTATCAGCGATTTCCCTGAATGTCCGTTCTGCGTTGACTTCATTGCACCAATCCCTCCCGTGAGCGATGTCGCTGTTCCCAGTAAAAGCGCCAGCGTCTCCATTTAAAACTCGTGGCCAGGACGCCTGATCGTGAGACATCTACCAGCTTTTTCTGTTGTATAGTAGCCTCATTCCTTTCACGGTTATTCCAATAAACCTTCATGCAGCCTTCCCCGCCCACTGTCGCGCTGTCTGTGTCTCTTCGTCCGTGACACTCTCTCGTCTCCGACTTGTTCTCTCGCATTAAAACCCAATTTTTTCCAGACTGTCTCTCACAGACTTGTCCGCGCCTACACTGAAGCCTTTTTTTATCTTTTTTTCGACAGTTTCTTACCTCAGTCTGCTTAGCACCTACCACTTCATTTTTAAACCCATTACCCCACTAACTATCGCAAAATGTGTTGTTAAAAATTGCATTCAAAACCCCACTTACCGGCACGGATCGCCTACGTTGGCCTGAACGACGCAAAGTCTTTCACATTCTTCAGCATCGCTTACATCCGAAACGATTTCGTCATAGATATCGGTATAGCCGGCGGTGGGTAGCCGCATAAAGGTACACCTCGATGATGACATATGTACTGCAAACAAAACTGTACTGGCGAATTACAATAATGCCAATGTGCATATTTCAGTTTGATTTTTTTATTGTTTTTTGCAGATTCTCATATTTCAGTAGTTACAAACTGAAAAAGTGAAGAATGCGACGCTTTTTGCCCTCTATAGGATGGACACGAGCTTCACAGAGTTTGGATAGACTTGGACAAACTAGAAATTTTGATGTTTTTCAGCTAGAATCAACAATTGCTGTCGCAGCCTAAGAACAAAGCACCGCAGAACCTCAGAGATGACCAGGGTATCTTTTCTTGAACGGATGGTCGGCCCTGGTAGTCAAATACCGCCCTAAAAATTTACTAACCTCGCCGACGCGATATTTGACCCTGCTTTGGGAGGACGGCTCAACAAATGAATCGAGTGCTTTAAAGGTGGACCCACGATGAAAGGGTAGCTTATTGGAAGTAAGGATAGAGGAAGTCAGTGGAGCAAGAATTAAGAAGAAAACATTTGAAACGGCAGGTCCGAAGCCAACGTAGTCGGACTCCTTCCTTGCCTTGCCGCTGGTTTCACATGATGCTATTCTGACTGCCCTCTTCAACGATTGACTTGCTCTCTGTATCTAAACACTCACTGCGTATAGATCGGCGGTTAGAGATTAGACAGTTGGGGAGCGTTCCTGGCCAATTGCGCTAAGGGAGGACCAATGCTAAGTCGCCAAAAGCGTGGTACTTCGGCGCGAATTTCGTGTTGGTCCGCACCCTTACCTTGGGTTCCGCCAATAGGTAAGTTTCATTTTCTTCAAGCTCCGTTTTGATCGCGGAATTGGAAATAAAACGCTCTGTGTAAAAATCTGATCTGCTTACCTTCGACGCAATTGTTTCTCGTAGATATCCACATCTTCACTGTAGCTGAAATGATTTCTGATGTTGTATACGGTATTTGGTGAGGCCATGAGCAGATCACATGCTGTCGTCGGCGATTGAACTGCGATGCTGACAGTGACTCAGTGAAATCGACGATGTTGTAGAGCATGCATATTAGGTCTGATTAGCAGATCCAATCGAAGTATTGACATCAGCAATTAGCAGACTCGGTCCGCATAACATTTAGGCTCAGGAACTGACGACTATCGCGCCGAACCCCAGAGAAGTTCATCTCAACGCGCATCCCCCTTGCTTTAATGCTAACTTGGCTCAATCATAATAATAATGAGTTAATACCAATAATAACGTTTATCACAGTAATAATATAAGACAATAAATGCCATAGTTGTATAGCAAATCAAATATATTATTCGAATATATAATTTATTAAAAATCAAAAGTATGTATTAGTTATTAATATTGGGTTGATCCATAATTTCTGGCCGAATTCCAACACTTTGATTTATTCAAGTTTTATCTCTCCTAAAGAACAATTGATCAAAAACATAACCACCATCATTATCACTGATATGCACCCATTTCCCATGGAACGAATGGATGCATTCCTCCCAGAACGAGAGAAGCTGTGAGATGAAAAGGCCGAAGAGGCCGTTTTTGGGGTGGTTGTATTTATTGACTTTTTCCTCTCCAAGCTGCTGCTTCAGGGGGCTGCGGAGGTGATACGATGGAGCAACGTAAGGGCTATCCGACAGATGTGGTGTCGTTGTCGAGCCGGTTTCCCTCGAAACGTGGCGAGTTATTTTTGCAATGTGATTTCGGGCGGTCCTCCTGATAGAGGAGATTTTGAGACTTTTCCAACCGTCCTCCCTCACTGCTGCGGCTAACTTTGGAAGGTATTCCATGGTTACCTCCGCAATGCTTGTCTGCATAAAGTTAAATGGATCTCAAAATGGGATACCCAGCGAATCCAACAAATTGGGGGTCACACCTGTGATGGAAACAGCTCGGGTTCTGATTGATGTGCAGCGTCCAGGCTGCGTGGTAGCCACCGGGCGAGCAGCGTGTTGTTATCGTAGGGGACTCTTGACTCATCTGCACTGGTGACCAATGAGGGAGTGTCTTGTCTGTACGGTTGCAGAATGAAACTTCTGCAGATGGTCAGGCGTGCTTCTCGGTCATGGTCAGTCCATGCATGCTGTTTCCATCGAGGCTTCATTCTGCTACAGTCCATTTCTGTCGACCCATGGAGCGTGGGCCCAGACGTTTGCTACAGTTTCCTGCTGATAGCGTCCGGATGCACTTCCTATTCGTAGCGCAAGCGGTCCTCATCGAAAGTGATTGGGGGTCCGTGATGAGGTCGAACGTTGCATCTCCTATCGCCTTTGCGTATGCTATTGAGCCAATAGCTCA